CCGAATAAACGTTTTTGTTTAAAGATTCTGTTGGTTTTAATTCACCACGGAGAAACGTTACAATATATATATATATATATATACGTACGTATTATATATGGATTTTGTAGTATAGGGAAAGGTATGCACTGTTGCGGACGATCAATTTCGAGATTTAAACGGAAATACATGTTTTGCAATCCACTGTTACCGAAAAAGTGTTGTTTTTTTTTAAACGTCCATCTATCCGTCAGTCCGTCCGTCCGCCTGGTGTCTGTGAACACTACCAGCGTGTAAACTATGCGTAGGACTTTTTCAAACTTGAAGAAACTCGTGTCGATCGGGCACGCGTGCGATCTTTGATATTTTGAAAAAAAATCTTTAAAATTTGTGGAAACATTGAATGAAGCCCCTCGGACAAATTTTTGCTTTCAACTTTTGATAGGGATAGTGCTAAATGTACTCTATAAGATGACATAAACACCACATTGCTCTGTTCTTTTTTCAAATATTACAAAAAAGGTATTTTTTGACATCCCTCTCACGTCGTTAATATTTATATTAGCGGCAATTTGTTCACATTATAGTATTTATAAGTACATATTCTTTAAATAATGTCAAATTAAGTTCTTCGAAAACTACCGTTTTCTGTGAAAACTAGCTCAAATTTCAGCATTTTCAGAAACGCTCAAACGCCATTTCTCAAAAACGGCTCGAATTTTTTTCTTCAAACACTTTGAACGGATAGTGTTCATTACACTCTTTAATAGGACGTAAAGTTAATATCGGAGTATTTTTTTTAAATACACAACGTAATCTTTTGACAGATCTCTCACGCCGTTAATATGCACAATTTCAGCAATATGTAAACACTATTGTATTTCTGACTTAAAATTATTTCAAATTAAGTTTTTCGAGGACTCAAACATTTGTGAAAAACAGCTTCAAATTTCGAATGTGCTGTAGCGCTTCAACACGCCAGTTTTTTAAAAACAACTCCAAATTTTTCAAAGAAAATTGCCATAAAGGACGAGGTTTTACTGTTCTTTAATAATCCTAAAATAATATTTCCGGTCTACAATTAGGAAACAGAAAAATCAAGAAATGTGAAAAAATGTACTTTAGGCTGCGATAGATGGCAGGGGACAAGAATGTGGCAAGTTCGAATAGCTAACCGAGACCAAAAGAAATAGAAAACGAATACGGGAAAGTCTGTGTCATTCCGTAGCACAACTAGTTCTACACAACTTTTTAAGGGAAACGTTGAAGAGAAAAACAGAAAATAGAGAAATTCTGGTTTTCAGGCCTCCCGATTATTAGCACATGGTCTAGTGGTCGAAAACTTCCCTTTATCCATGTGAATCCCCATTTTCAGTTCTTGCTGAGTGGACTAATAATAAACTCGAAGCTCCAAATATGTTTCAGCCATCAAATTTTTAAATTGAATACACCTCTTTTCCTTCTGATCTTCGGCTATTCATTTTTTACTCTAACCGTACTTTCAGAGCGCGTCGTATTTCAATGCGTTTAAACTGACTTCGTAAACAATGATATAATGAATACAAAAGCGTTTCATCTAACGACAAAGCATCTGGCTCAGCGAGCCTTTGTGATGTGATCGCTCTTCTCGGAATGCTGACCAATGCTGACTCCCGCGTTTTACGCATCGCGAACAAGGCTCCTGTAATGCTTGGTCAGCTCCACCACATGATATTACACGATCACGACACAAAATTATCAAATTATCTTTGAGAAAAGGCAATGAGTTAGGGGTGAAGGCATGAGAAAAACATTCGATTGGGGAAATCTCTCAATACAAAAATTAATTATGACTTTAAAATCTTAATACTTAATTTCAAAAATGTTTAGCGCAAAACACCTGGAATGGAACTTATGAAAAAAATGAGCTTGAAATAACTAATTAAATATATTTTTATCCGTTTATTTTGTATTCGCGAATGGCAGGTGTGTTTGGGTAGCATTCCTAGTGAACGCTGCGTCTTAGGCGATTCACCTTGAAACGCCAGAAGGTATTTCAGGTCTGTGCACACACGCTGTGCGGTTGTTTTTTGTATACGTCCTAAAAACAGTACCTTGAGACTCAATTTATGGTGAGAAATCGTACTGGTTCTCTACTAATTCTGAGATTAAACATACCACCGAGAATCGTGGTATATGACAATCGTCGCATGTCATTTAATATTTTCTAGCTCTATTTTTAGTTACATAACTGCCAAAAAGGTTGAAAAGGAGTGAATGAAGAGTTTTTCCGGTTTAATTGATAAAACTGTCTGAAGAAAACTGTTTCGGTGTATCTTTACTCGTTGAAATGTAGTTGTCATTATGTAGAATGTAAATCCATGTATACACTCACCCTGGAGCATTAATGCAAACACATACTTTATTAAAACTCATGAATGAATGCAACGATGACGTAGAACACGGGATTTCCTGTCACTGCGGACGCCCTTGAACCTTCTGATTGACATTGACCTTCTAGCGTTATTTCCCTCTCGATTTTTTAAATTTGAAGTTAGAAGATTGTTCTGCAAAAATACACATAAAAAATCACTCCTTGATCAAGATTACAGGCGGAAACTCAGACCTCGGTCCATTGCGAGTCGTACTTGCTCAGGCAACAGAACAGTCACGCCTGGGAGCTGGGCCGTGCGAGTACGCATTCTCGAGCCGAGCGGAGCCGCACCTCCTGGGAACGAGAACGAACCAATCGCGCTCTCGCTTATGTAAGTCACCGCCCGAGTCAGCGAATCGCGGGGGATGTAGGGTGACGTCACACTGCCGACATCCTTTACGATGTGTGTTTACCTTGGCAAAGCACGCGGGGCGTCTGGAGAGTCATACAAAGTGCAGTGATTTGGGCACGGGCGTGCCGCATAACCATTTGAAGGCTCCGCACGCGCCTCGTGAAGGTAAAACGCGTGCGTCTGCTATTCGCCTCCGGGGCATTAGCGTAATTTCATTGAGGCTGTCGGGACAGTACTGGGAAAGTTTCTCCTTGCGCGATTTTTTTCCGCGTTCCGGTTTCCTTCCTACTTTCCAACAGTGGGATGAGTGAAAAGAAAGTGTAGGGATATTGGGCTAACTTTTAACGACACACGCGGTAGAGAGTTACGGGTAGTTTTCACAGTTCAGACGCAATCTCGGGGTCCCGTTGCGTGGTGCAAGTAGGCCTGTCGGAGCGGCAGCAGTGGGCAGCAGCTGGTAAACAGCGTGATCGCGACACGCGTTGAGCGCGCATATTTTGGAAGGGCGGACGGAGCGTATCAGCGTCGTATCAATGTAGGGCAGTGTCACGAAGAGTGGACAATCCAGGAAATGGTATCCTGATAGATTCGAGATAAAATATCGATTTAAGTTTTTTTCGATAGTCGTAAACACCAGGAAGGGCGCCACATACGACGTGTTTTTACATACGTAACACACTTTCACACATCTTACCACAAAAAGTTACTGAGTATGTCAAATAATCACTATGAATATTGAATTATTTAGCCAACTTATATTTTGTATGAGACAATATGCTGAAATATACAATTGAAAAGTAATTTTAGTATGTAGTAAGACTGAATCCAAATAGTAACCCGAATCCTCTGTTGTTTTTTTATATTCGCTGAAGATATAATGCTGTTTTTAATGTAATTAATAATTCATTTTTCAGATCTTCTGTACACCATGTGTCCACTATGGCCTTTCCATGTTTTTTTAATATATGGTATAATACTTGGACCTCTGTGGATGATGACATCTGCTGCAGTAAATCAAATGATGCATACATGGAATGTATCATTTGAACCATCTTCACTTCTAAATATACCAATTGGTAGTTTAAACACAGTTTCATTTGAAACGTATGACTTAACACCAGAAGAAATTCAGTACGGTGTTGTCAGTGTGCAAATAGAAAATGCAGGTCATGATAGCGTAGAGCCAGTGGATAAAATATATATACTCAATACAGAACCAATGAATGATCATTATTGGTCTTCAGCATTTAATATCTCTGCAAATTTTTTGGGTTATGCCAAAGCACGCCTCAAACTTAAAAGTATAAATGATGACAGAACTTTAAAGACTTCAAATGCTCTTAATATAACTGTAGTGCGTGAGGAGAAAGCCATAGATAAAGCATTTACATGGAGTGTAGCTACACTTGTGTCTATTATATATATCAATTTTGGCTGTGCAATTGAACCTGATATTGTGAAGAAGACATTGAAGAGACCAATTGGGCCTGTGATAGGTTTCATGTCCCAGTTTGTTGTAATGCCTCTGGTAAGCTGAAATTAATGCTAATTGCTCACACCCACACAAAGAGATCAAATGATTATTATTATTATATTGCAACACATTCAAACCATTACTGTACACAGGTGAGCTTTGGTCTTGCTAAGGTCCTTTTCCCTGAGTCATTAGCCATGCAGCTAGGCATGTTCTTCACGGGAGTGAGCCCAGCAGGAGGAGCTTCGAACATATGGACTGTGACGCTAGGAGGAAATTTGAATCTCAGTATTACTATGACAACTATTAGTACATTTGCTGCATTTGGTAAGCTCTATAAGTAAAATATAAGGAAAAACAACAATGTTTGTAAAGCAATATCTCAATTATTAAATCTAAATTAGTTAGATAGGAATGTTTTCATTTTGTAAATACTTGAATCACTTTTGTGAAAAAGCTATACCATGTACCATACACCATGAACCTTGTACTGTGTAATTTTGAACATGGAGTATAAGATGAATGTACATAAATAGTTTTATCTTAATTCAGTGGAACTTTTTGGGGCTTTTGTTAGATTTGTGCCTGCATTTAAAAATTACTTAACATAGTACATATCTTGTGGAATTCAACTACATTATTTTTTTCACTTTGTAACCATTGTGGCAAACAATGGATGATATTAGACATGTTTTGTGTGACAAAGCCAGATTCTCATTGCATTTCCTTCAAGATAATTACTTTGTCTTTTCCACAAATCAAACCCATTCTGGAGTTTTTACTGAATTGACTTGCAAATGTAATTATGTCAAAAATGTTTTTAATTAGAGATTATTTTTTATATTATTGAAATGTTCTATTATCATCTTTGACTGTGGTATTGTATTCAATGGTCTCTGTAATTGCAGTGATGATTCCGGTATGGATATTCACCTTAGGACAGCTGATCTTTGCAGCAGCAAATACTAAAATCCCATATGCTCGCATTGCTTCAATTGCAGTGGGTCTGGTTATTCCACTTAGTATTGGGTTAGCTTTACAAAGGTTCTGCCCTAAAATAGCAAAGTTTATGGCAAGAATACTTCGTCCATTTTCAATAATTCTTATCCTTTTTATAGTAATATTTGCCATAATTACAAATTATTACATATTCAAACTCTTCTCTTGGCAAGTAAGTGAGCAGCTTGAAAGACAAGTATTTTTTGACACTAAATGATATTTTTTTAGTTATTTTCTCCTAGGTAAAAGGACTAATTAGCAAAATTCTTACAGATTGTGGTTGCTGGACTTGGTTTACCTTGGCTTGGCTTTGTTTTTGGTGGACTTTTAGGTCATGTTTTTAGGCAGCCTCCCATGGATATTCTGGCAATTGCTATTGAAACAGGAATTCAAAATACAGGCATAGCAATTTTCATGTTACGTTTCTCATTGAAACAACCTGAAGCAGACCTTACAACAGGTATATATTTAAAGTTTATCATTTTATATTTAACTATTGTTATGTTTAAGCATGTAACACTAGTGTAGTTAGCTGTGTGAAAAGTCCCTCCCTTATATATGTTTAAGGGATATAAGTAATTTAACAAGCCTTACATAAAATTCCATTTTACCTCTTTAGTAATATTGCTTTCTAATTGGCCTTATTTTGGACTCCTAAAAAATTCAAGAAATCTTTTTTGTTTTAACTATAAAATCAAAACTTACACAACACAATATTTCAGAACTTATAAACACAAAGTATTTAGATGTGTAATTTTTCTAAAACAAAATTAACCATAATTTATATTTTTTAAATAAATTGGATAACGAGAACATTTTTAATTTTCAGTTGTGCCTGTAGCTGTTGCAATTATGACTCCTCTTCCTTTGGCCCTGTGGTATGTCATAAAGAAGTTTCAGGCCTATTCTTCACAAAAGCGGAATATAAGGTTAGAATCTGATGGTGTTGGAGATCCAAGTAGACTTGAACCTTTAAGTAATGGAAATGGTCGTATTTCTTCACATGAGTGAACTTAGAATCTTTTGAATATCATCACATTATGTGCAAAAGGGCTAACACAAAATATTGGTGATACAGACATTTTTCCCAATAGAAGTATATTATGTTTGATCTCAGAAGCCAAGGAACGTAAATTATTGTAAAGGACTTTCCTCTACTTCGTAGTGTGACTGTTCCAAATTACTTGAAGCACTTGTTGATATACTTTTTAATATTCTTGTTGTCAACACAATTTCAAGTTCCTAGAATGTACATCTTTCCTTCCTTCAAAATAGGTGAAATGAAATCATGATAATATTGATATGTATGAAAAAATATACTTCATAAAATCAACAAAAATCACCAATTGTTTCCAAGTGTTGAGATAATTTTTAAATCGCCAACCAGTGCTCCATGTAATGACAATATTTATAAGTAATGATAATTGTGGTTCCTGAGTGACATGTTCCCAGTTGTACTATTGTGAATTTAATGTTCATTTTATGTCCTTTCCATAAAAGAAGCTAATTTTGCAAGTGTCAATGAGTGCACTAGTCCCTCAATACATCTTGCAATGTGATTTTGTTTTATTTTCAAAAGATCTCTCAGGAACATACTGAACAGTAACAATGCTAAATTTCATGTTTTGTGTTGAATAACTGCAGTTTCTTATCTATTGGTTATTTGACTAATCCTGTTCAGGGCTCCAAGCCAAAAATTTTCCCGTCGTGTAATATCTGCCTCCAATATTTTTTCACGTTATCATTGCATCACAGTAAACTAAACTAATAATAAATCCATTTAATCAACTGATAATAAAAGTAGTTTGCTGATACTGTTAATTTTTTTCTTTTTTTCACATAAAATATTTACTGTGTAAATCTAAATGTGAAATTGTTTTTCATGAGAAACTTCAGTGACTGACTATTGTGGGTGTTCTGTAGTACACTGGTTTTGGTAAGTGCCTATTGGTACTTTAGGTTCACCACTTAGTTATTTTAATTATTATGTAAAGAAAACAGTGTTAATGCCTTTCCAACAAGAGACAATCAAATTGTATGCAGGTAATAAATGACATGATGGTAAATCAAAAAATTATTTTTAATTTTGATGTTTTGTCCCAAGGTAATATTTTGCTAAAAATTGCAATAATAATACCTACATTATGTTGGTATTGTGATGACTCTCAAGAACACTTTAATTTGTGTTAATTTGGAGAATTCAGAAAGAATTTATGCTGTCTGATGAAAGATTCTCTAAATTGTAAAGAAGATTGAATAATCCTTATGTGGAGAACAGTTCAAAAAATTGAATTTAATATATGTAGTACCTACAAATTGCTAATACTTATATCGCAGAGTATGACTAAACAATATCAAGATTGTAGATGCAATTATTGATCTCTTGGAGAGGTTCTGTTGACACTGAAGTAGTAATGCAAGTTGATATTATCTTTTCAAACTATTTTAAGTGATGTGTTGCCTTAATCTTGGTGTCTAACTCTTTTGATATCTTTACTGTCTAGTATCTACAATAAATTATTCACTGTCAGTTTTGCATTCCAGCGTGCTCCACTAACCTGTGTAATTGTTATGATTTTAACGATCACCAAGCAGTAACGACAGTATCACCAACATGATTGTCAAGGTCTTAAGGACGTACAAGCTAGGTCATGAAATTTTGCTTGTAGATTCAACATAAACAAATATTGATGAAGACAATGTCAGCTTGCATGTAGATTAAACACTATACAATTGAAATATAAACAGTTTTGTTTAAGATTTTAAAGATCTAATTGTAAAGATCAGTAATATTTTAGAAAGCCAACATACATGCATACAATTCTTCTTGGTCTTTTAAATTTAAGTGTCAGTCCATGTATTAAAATCATTTACTCAAACCCTTCAGGGCCATAGAAAGCTAAAATACAAATTAGATTCATTATACATTTTTGTTTAACGGAAATGACTTCCGATTGAACTTGAAAACAAGAAGGTCCATTTATTATTTCATCGAATTTAAAAATGCGTGATTTTTACAGTTTTGTTAAATTCTTTTGCATAGTTTAAAACAATTGCAAAAGAATAATATATACTATTTCTCTATATATCAGGGGGGAGGGGAGGGGAAATCATTATTGGTGAAGGAGTGGTTGCCCTTTTGCCAAAAATGTGATGATATACTTAGTCTATTTCAGATTGTGGTAAAGGTGTGACAGTATTACCGGATGTATGTTCCCAGAAGTTTACAATTTTGGAAGCAGCTGTTTTTATTTTAATAATGAAGTAACATGTCACAAAACATGCTTATAGTCTTTTAGGTTGTTGTTTAGTGCCTTAACAGGTGACATGGGGGGGGGGAGGTGTGTCTTCCCAAGAAAGAAATACTGCATGTTAAACTTTTATATAAGAGAAGGTTTATGGAACACTGCCAGTATTTATCAAATGACTAAAGATTGTTTTATACAAATGAAAGTTGAATATTTATATAGTTTTATAGAAAGTGTAAAGGCAGGATAGTTGAATAAATATATGCATTCCTGCATTGTTTTTTTTTTTTGCTGTAATTACAGTTTTCTGTCTGACCTTGCCTGTCAATACCTAGTGACTATTTGTAAATCATTTCAAAGTACACTTTGGGTAAGGTGGCGAACAGCTCTGTAAAACAAGTTTCAATAATTCCAATAACATTCCAATTCATTCATCTCAGTAGGTATCAAACACAACAAGTATTATTACTACTACAGTTACGCACAGATGAGCCACGTGCACTGAAATGCAACTTGTATTAAAATTGAAAAGCAATATATATTTCATACTGGTGTTTCTTCTTGAATGTTTATATGAATATTTCCATTTCCATGTAACATTTTTAAAGCTAAAATCAATTTAATTTCTTACCGCAAGTTATAAAGAACTGCATTCTCTACATTATCACTTTGTCATTTATATTCGATGACAGTTGATTTTGCAAGTCTTCATTTGTAATTGAGAACCAAACTACACATGCAAAAGGCATTGGTTCATTATTTATAACAAGCAATAATCTACATTTCAGTCACAAAACATTAAGAAACATTGTTTTGTCTTCATCAAGTTGCACCCTACACTAATGAAGAAAAGACAGAAATAAAAACAACAATTCAATTCATTTTAATCCACAGTATCAATTATGAAATAACACACGAATTACATGATAAAGAAAGACAATGAAAATTACATTATGGATACGTTTTGTCAGAGCACTTGAAATAGGCAATTCTTTCAACAATTCAAGATGCTAATTGAACAAAACAACCTCATGTTGAAAGGAACACAGATGAGTTTTTTTTAAAAGACAACCATTCTTTTATGCTCAGCCAACTATCGTACATACCACTTAGTTGAACATAGGCAACACAATATTGACATTCATCATATTTTGATGTTTGTAATATTTTTTTATTACATCCAAGAATTCATTAATGTAATTTACAATAAACAGCCTGGACGGTTACTGTGAGATTTGCATTAAGAGAATAAATTTGTTTACCAATGTTTTACATCAGTATTAAAAATAAATAGTATAGTGTGCAACTTGAACTGACTTGCAAAACAAAATGTGCAAATCATATAACCATGTGGCCTTAAAATGGGGTTCTATTCCAAGTTAATGTCTTCTCAATAGCATTACTTTATCACTTCCATTTTATAAAACTAAACAATGCTATCATTAAGATCACATGGTTGTTCAACTTGAAGCTTTTCAAAATATCAAATGTGTCTGGAATAACGATTACAACACAATTCTCCCAAGCAATGTTCACTTCAATCAGCAGTGTGTCCAATCCATTGGCAAACAGCAATGCCTTTATACACTTATTTGGTGTAGTTGATCGTGGTGCTTATTCCTCAAGCTGTGTCATGGATGCCCAGACGGAAGATGTCATGTTGGCAAAAGAAGGAATTGCCCAAGGGTTTCAGCACAAACACTTGTGAGTATGCATGTGGGGGGTCGTCGTCACACTATAAAAAGACAACATTTATAAATCACTGGAAGTAATCAAATAGTCAATTGTTAAAATATTACAAAAATCTAAAATGCACAGGCAACTTCTACTTAATAAAAGCCCGAATGAAAGGAACACTGAAGTAGGTTAACAAAAATAATTTCACAATTTTGAAGAAAACAATTTCCTGAGATAAAGGATTCCTCAAGCGTATACTTTTTGCACAATTCCTCTATATTACATACACAAAAAACTATTTTGGAAAGAAATAAAGATGATTCCTTTATTTTTGAATGTCATACGATATAGTGAAGTAGTTTTACGTGATTTAAAATGGTACTTAGTTGAAAAAATTAAATAATAATATACATACAATTTCATCCTGGAAATTTTGATTATGCTACTTTGTACTTTTATGAACAAAGGCTACTAAGGAATTGGAAAAAGCATCGACAAGGAAATCATGAACAGTGGCACTAACTACAATAGTAAAAACTTCGCAAAACATGCAGAATGACATTATACAACATCATTATAAGACCTGTAGCCATTTATATTGCAAAGTTTTCACTTTTTCAATAATTTATTCTAGCTAAATGACCTTTCTGTGCACTGAAGTTTACAAATACAAAAACTTCAGTGAAAGGTAGATCAAATGTCAACAGGATATCATGCAATTGAACATTAACGTGTGATACAAAAAGGGAGATTTCAAAATGCTTTGATATTAGAGTTTACATCAAGTATGGGGAAGCAAACATCTACAATTCTTCTAAAAGAGGTGACAGAATGGAATATTTAGATATTAATTTAGTGCTCTCATACATATTAATATACTTGCACACTGCGGAAAAAAGTGATCATTACTGTGCTCTCAGAGATCAAGAGAAAGTGCACAATATTAAATTCTGTAACAAAGCAATTAGTGAACAAGGAATAACAGAATCAGAAATTAATTATTTCTCGATACATTTTACATCTCTTCATCCTCGATTCCAAATATTCCAACTGATAAGCTATTTTTAATTTTGTTTCTTATATAAAGGTAAACCCGTCTGGGATAATCAGACTTTCCTAATTTGCAACTCTTCAAACTTTTTACAATGTAATATTATAACAAAACCTACTTAATTTCAACAAGTTTTCTTGAGACTAGGCAGTCAACTGCACATCTGACACTCCTCTAAATTGGTCACTTCTTCAAAGAAATCAAAAATGTCCAACTTGGGGAAGTTTACTGAATTTCACATAACATATGGTTTGCCTTTCCTACAGAAGTTTTATGATCATGTATCATGCAAATTACATGCAAGTAAAATGAAGAAAAATAAATACACACACACCCACACACACCTCATATGGAAAGTTTATTTAAAGCAATTTAGACAGCTAATAAATGGAATTTATTACCTCACTTTCCACATCAGTGGTATTTCACACTCCCTAGTTTAAAAGTAACATTCATATACACAAGGGCAAACTATGGGTATTAAATGTAGCAGTTATGTAAATTGCAAGCAATCAGTTTGGAATTTATCTCATTCACATTATAACTGCAAGGGGGGAAAAAAGAAGCAGAACACATTCAAATGTCACACATGGAAACCCTTGCCTGCATCACAGAATTCGGACAGAAGATGTCAAAACAAACTATACGGTGTCATGTAATGCAAGTCGAAACAGATCGTGTTGGACATAAAAACTCGCCCCAATAGGTTTCAGCACAAATGTCTGAAGATACGCATGTGGAGGGTCCTCATCAGTCTGCAAGAAGCATCTCAAGAGGTGTACGTGTAACATTTATAGCAATTCATAGTATAACATTCTGATTAGTTTACCATGTATATAAATATTAAACCACATTATTCTCTTATAAATTGACTACTTTAAAAACTAGAAAACTGCTCACTGATCAAATGGACAAAAAATGTTTCAATTGCAATTTTACACGAACATTTTTAACATTTAAAATTCACTTACTTGCAGTCTTCCAAGTACATTTATCAAGACACCACCATCAAACATTGGTTGAGAATCAACAGCAGTTATAATTCTATTAATTTTTTGAAAGCTTAGGCTCTGAAACAAATTATTATAATAAATATCACTACAATCTTATTACATCATCAAAAGTAGATATATGAAGATTCAGGCTACTCACAGTTAGTTTTTCCATTATCTTCACTGCACCTTGAATTTGTTGCCCTTCAAAGGTCATAAAGGAGGTCTCAGTCTGGAAAGCAGGAATAAAAATTATCATATTTGACATTAATCGCAAATTCAGAACATATCTGAAAAAATTACAAACTGAGTAGACAAGCTAGATCACTTCTATCTCGTTTAAAGCAAGGAACTTAGACAAGTAATTTGATCTATCGTGAAAAGTAGTTGCAAGAACATGTGTGCGAAGTTTTAGGTTATGTACGAAAGAAAAGTAAAAATTTAAAGCAATGCGATTCTTTCGTTTCCGTTATCACACATAATAATAATAATACAACATTTACACTACGAATGCATACTTACATTGTACATATTTATTAAATTTGGTCTTTGCGCTGGGTCATCGAATATAGCGTAATATTGCTGAACAAAACCTTTCCCAATTGCCTCGTAAGCCGGGTTTAACGTCATCGCGGCTTCCCTTGCACGTTGCTAATCTCTTCAAAAACTTTTGCTGTACAGTAATAATTCTGAAGGCTGTTCAGAATCTGTTTAAGAAATATCTCTTCAATGTTGTAACGTCCCCGTAGCCAAACGGCACAGGCCTCGAACGAGGAGATAAGAATAACTTCAGACCGCTAGATGGCAGCAAAAACTTCGGTGGAAATTTCAAATCACTCTGACATGAGTTCATGAGGGTTTTGAAGTAAGTTTTAAAGTAGAATAGCTGTCATAAAATGTGTTTTATTTCTTCGATAATAGTGCAGTATATAACTTTAGTAAATATTTGCCGCACATTTTGGAGAAACATTTGTGTCATTTAACTCTTCTTAGCTGCGTCCAGAAAAATGAATTACACAATTCAAAGTTTAATTTCTCTAGTTTTTGACGAGAATCATGGACCAATTGAGATTATGATACTTTAAAAAACAGATGGAGTAATAGAGATTTACAGGAATGCAGTTTGAAGACAAATATTTTGTTTAATATCAAGCTCTTCACATCAAATATGATAAATAAAAGCTTAAAATCAGAAAAAAAATTTTTTTTGTACACCACCCTAAAAAGACCGTTTCCGTTGTAAAAAATTGTTCACATAGGGGCATTTTATAGCAAAGCCTGTCTCCCTTCTCGCCCGTACTGCGCATCCTCACCGCGCCGAGTACTTAGCCCGTAAAAGTTAATATCTTGAGAACTATTGCACATCTTAGAATATTCGGTACCAACATCTCATGTAAGGCAATCTTTGAGTATGAAACGTTTGCTTACGATGCGATTGCTATGTCAACAATATATTTGACATTTTAGGGGCAGATTAATCCGACTTAAGTGCGCTAGTGGTGTCCCTAGGACTGGGCCCTGTTTTTACTTATTATCCACACATCAGGGTAAGGGAGACATGGTATCAATCATGCTTGACCTGCATCAGTTTGTTTTTCGTCACAAAGCTTTAGAAACTGAGATGATTACATTAGAAAACTACAACTACTAAAAAAAAAAGAGGTTTCTAAAAGTTTTCTAAGGAGGTTTCTAAACAAGAACTGTAGCTCACATGTCACATAGAGTTTAGGCAACTTTTGATGTAAAAGAAATAAACTTACTTTGAGATTAGTTTTCTTTATTTCCTTCATCTGTATCAGTATTGACATAAGAGACACACAGTATCTTCATCTGTATCAGATTTGAAGACTATGTGTGTCTCTTATGAGTTTCGAGTGACCAGATTTTTTATGACACAAAACAGGACTATTCTGAAATATGGTAGAAGAAGAAGAAGAAGAAGAAGAAGAGGAAGAAGAAGAGGTAGAAGAAGAAGAAGAGGAAGAAGAGGAAGAAGAGGAAGAAGAGGAAGAAGAGGAAGAAGAGGAAGAAGAGGAAGAAGATGAAGAAGATGAAGAAGAAGAAGAAGAAGAAGAAGAAGGAGAAGAGGAGGAAGAAGAAGAGGAAGAAGAAGAAGAAAAAAGGGGGGACAAATCAGGCCATGAGCTTACAAAGTAAATGTGTTTCATATGTGACTGCACTACTTCACTGAGTCATGTACAAATTATTTTTATATATAAAATGACATATTTTAATAACCAACTTATGAACTACCAGCTGAACATGAACTTGTGGCTTCTCATTCAGGAACATCACTATGAACTTTGTACTTATCAGGTTTGATATCTTGCAAAAGTGTGGAATTATTTAATAACAGATTGTAGAATTCATTCCAGATCAGGTCTTGAAAATGAGTTTTTAAAATTACAAATTCTTAAATAGTTTCTGTAGTAACACGTTTTCTTTCATCAATCCAAAGGAAGCTCAAAATTTAAAATACTCTTCACCACAGTATTTTTGCTTGGTACAACCAGAGCAAAACTCACAACCACATCTATGTTTTTATACGGATTGCCACTACTTTATGTGGAAGACATCACACATCATTATCAAACATTATCTTTTCCCATTCCTCGAATTTTCTGGATAAAATTTGCTGAAATGTGAGAGCTAGCGAAGTAGCGAAAACCGGAGAGCGTCTCGGGAGAGTGAGATTATAGCCAAGAACGAAAAAACGTGGCATTTCGCGCAGCGCCGTCGTGACACTGGTTGGAGAGATGCATTGAACCAGGGCAGCAAAAAATTGACTTCCAATTTAAAACTTTGAATGAAACAAAACCAAATTTGTAATATATATCTAAGAGCAATATACTTTTTAGCCCTGCGCGTTAGTAAACTACGTAGAAGTATAACCGTAGATATAAAAAGTTTCATATTTCATTGATCAAACGAAATAAATAGAATAGTTTATAGGGTGAGTTTTCTGTACGTCCTTCCGTCTGTCTGCGGTCAACACTAGCGCCTAATTTGTTCAGTCGTGTTTCGTGAAAATTGATATTCCCTCATCGATCTGGAGGAAGTTGAGGTCCTGCTAGTTTGAATCAGATATGTCGATTTTTTACAGTATGTAACATGATGACTTAACGTTTTCGAATTTTTTTCAAAAATAGCTTCAATTGTTTTTAAACATTGAACTTGAATAAAAAAACTCTAATAAACGATGCGGGTCTCATTTTCGTTGAAGTTGCTAATTTTTCGAGAATTGCTTAAGTTTGATATTTTCTCGGCGACTTTCTACAACTACAATATTAAAGCTGGATATTTTTCTTAATAAAATCTTGTTGGGAGTCATCTTGAAATATGGTCAATTACAATTTTCAGAAAATGAGTAATTTTCGCATAATTTTGCGTCAATTGCGTGCAATTTTAATTTTTTTTTTTAGAAACAACTCCAGTTTTTCCTCGTACGTAGCAAACGGAGGTTGAAAAAATTGTGCTGGTTCCATTTTCGCAACCGGTACACGTTGCTAAATCAATCTCTCGGTATTTTCGAAAGTTGCAAAAAATTAACATTGCAAAAGTGCAATATTGATGGTAGAGATTTTTGTCTTACATTAAATGAGTTCTAAAAACTAGACCTTAAACTAAAGTCATATACAAGTTTTTTGAAACAAAACGAGCTTTTTCGTATATTTTCTTATTGAAGTTTCTGCATTTTATAAAAAAAATTCTCGAAAACGGTTCCAAATTTGCAGGTAATGTACATATTAACGACGTGAGAGACAAGTAAAAAAAAACAATTTTTGTAATTTTTGAAAAAAACTAAGGAATAGAGCGATATGGCGTAGAGCGAGTGCATTTAGCACAATCCCTATCAAAAGTTTAAAGAAAAAATGTAGCTGTTTTTAAGAAAACAAAAATGTACATGATCTTAATAAAAGAATTTACTTCGGGGAACAAATATTATTTGAATGAAAAATCTCTATTTTCAATTTTGTAGTTGTAGGGAAAAAAATTCATACTTTAAAATTTTCGAAAATTCAGAATTAACTTTCAAAATCAGATCTATAAGTGTTTCAGTTTCATAAGATCAGGTTTATAAGTGTTTCTCTATTCTTAAGTGTGTGTCTATTCTTAAAAGAAATTTAAAGAAAAGATTTGGAGCCTTTTTGAAAAAATTTTGAAAGTGTCCAGGATGCTTTATGTAAAATATCCTCAAATTTTAATGAATTGTTTTCAAAATCTCAAAGATTCGACTCGAACCAGATCGACACAGGTTTCTTCAATTTGGAAAAAAAATCCCACGCATGGTTTACACGCTAGTAGCGTTCACGGAAGAAAGGACAGATGGGTGGACGGACAGATGGGTGGACGGACAGATGGGCGGACGGACAAATGGGTGGGCGGACAGATGGGCGGACGGACAGATCGGCGGACTGACGGATAGACCGACGAGCAGACAGACGTACGGAAGGACAGACGGACGTTTTGAAAAAAGTACTTTTTCGGTAACGGGACCCCAAAACGTACATTTCTGTCGAAATCTTGAAATCGATATTCCGCATCATTACATAACTTTTCCTATACTACGTACATTATTTCGAATATACATACGTACGTATATGGAAAAGTAAAAATTGGAGCTGTTTTTGAGAAAATTTTGAAATTGTCCGCGGGTCTTCATGCAAAGTATCCCCAAATTTTGAAGAAAGTGTTTCAAAATCGTGGTGACTCGAGTGGAGCCAGATCGACCAGGGAATATCCGTTTAGGAAAAAATCGTACGTATGGTAAGTATGGTTGTTCACAGACTGACAGACAGAGCGACGGACGGACGTTTTGCCGCCAATTAGATTTTCGTTTTCAAGGACCCACAAAACAGGGATTCTGGCCTTCATGAAACCTTAATGAAAGAACTTACTATGGAGAACAAATTTTATTTGAAGGAAACATCTCAATGTTCAATTTTGTAGTAGTAAGAAAATGGCCGAAAAATTGTGATTTTGAAATTTTCGATAATTCGGAGTTCAATCTGAAAATTGGACCTATGTCACGATTATAAGAGTATTTTACTATATTCTTACATGAAATTAAATGAAAAAATTGCAGTCGTTTTTGAGAAAATTTTGAAAATATCTGGAGGGCTTCGTGTATAGTACCTACAATTTTGTTTTTGTTTTTTTCAAAATCTCAAAGATTTCACTCAAGACATGAGCATAGGTTCGTCAATTTGGAAAATATCCTACGAATGGTTTAGGCACTAGTAGTGTTCACAGTCGGACGGACAGAGACAGACGGACGTTTTGAAAAACCACAACAAAAAATCACTCTTTTGGTATTAGGGAACCCCAAAACGTGCATTAGAAATCTCGAAATCGATTTTCCGCAGCATTTATAACTTTTCGTATACTACATACAATACTCCGCACATACGTACGTATACGAGAAAGTAAACGCCTGCTTGCCTGTTTCACGTAAAATTACGTGAAAAGTACTAAAATGTTCGTAAAATTGTTCATGATCTTATTTCAAAATCCTTTTTAAGGATCAGATTTCATAAAGGGAAAGTAATGTTTTTCAAAATCGCAGAGCTTTGTGTCAGGACAGATCGAGTTGGGAATATTCTTCTTCGGAAATATCATACGAATAGTTTAGATTTGTTAGTTTTGTTCACATTCACCGGACAGGCTGACAGGAAAGACAGCCGGCCGGCCGGACAGAAAGGATGGACGTTTTGAGAGAAAGAGAGGGGGAAAACGACACTTTTCCTTTATCAGGGGACCTCCAAACGTGTATTTCCATTGAAATGTCAAAATCTATTTTACATTACATAACTTTCATGCATTACATAAACATGTACTACATATATTACTCTGTATATATACACACACCCTTGTACGTATATATCTGTATATACGAGAAAGTAATATAAACGACCGTTTTCGTTGTAAGAAATCTTTCTTAAAAGGGCATTTTATGGCATGGCTCATGCACGCGCTCGTCCTCACCAGCGTCCTCGCTGCCCGTTGCCATCTGTCCTCAGCGCTAGTCCTCACCTCCTGACCCCACTACCACAGCGGCACCGTCTCTCGGCTGCTTGTCACCATTCCGTTCCTCCACCTCCCATCTTCACTGTCGGTCCTCCTCATGTCCGTACCTCACCAGTTCCTCGCGGCTTGCGTTGTCGCCATCTGTCCTCCAGCGCTAGTCCTCACCTCCTGACCCCACTTACCAGCGACGCGTCCTCTCTGGCTGTTTCACCATTCCTTCCTCACCTCCCCCCATTCTTTTCCCCCCCCCCCCCCAAATGGGGGTTTTTCCGGGTCCTCTCTGTCCGTCCTCACCAGTGTCTCCTCGTGCTCGTTGTCGCCAAATCTGGTCCTCAGCCGCTAGTCCTCAAAACCTCCTGACCCATACCCCCAGCGACCGTCTCTCTGGCGGGTGTTGTCACCATCCTTCCTCACCTTCCCCATCTTCACTGTCGGTCCTCTCTGGTCCGTCCTCACCAGTGTCCTCGCTGCTCGTGGTCGCCATCTGTCCTCAGCGCTAGTCCTCACCCCTACCCCACTACCCAGCGACCGTCTCTCTGCGCTGTTCTCACCATTCCTTCCTCACCCTCCCATTCTTCACTGCGTCCTCTCTGACCGTCCTCACCAGTGTCCCTCGCTGCTCCGTGTTGTGCGGCCATCTGTCGTCAGCGCTTAGTTCCTACCTCCCTGACCCCAACTTGACACCGCGGACCCGTCCTTCTCTGGTGGTTTGCGACCATTTCCTTCCGTCACCTCCCCATCTTCACTGTCGGTCCTCTTGCCTGCCGTCCTCTTTACCAGTGTCCCTCGCTTGCCCCGTTGTTTCGCCATCAGTGTCCTCGCCGCTATCCTCAAGCCATCCTCACCCCTGAACCACTACCCAGCGGAACCCGTCGCTCTCTGGGCCTGTTTTCAACGCATTCCCTTCCTCCACCTTCCCCACTTCACTGTTCGGTTCCTCTCTGTGCGCGTCCTCACCAGTTGTCCCTCGCTTGCCTCGTTGTTTCGCCATCTGTTTTCCCCGCTCAGCGCTAGTGCCTGCACCTCCCTGATCTACCCACCTTACCCCAGCGACCCGGTCTCTCTCTGGGCTGGTTCTCACCATTCCTTTCCTCACCCACCTCCCCATCTTCACTGTCCGGTCCTCTCGGTCCGCCTCACCAAGGTGGTCCTCGCTGCTCGTTGTCGCATCTGTTCCTCAGACGCTAGATCCTCACCGCCTGACCCCACTACCCAGCGACCGTCTCTCTGGCTGTTCTCACCATCTCTCCTCACCTCCCCATCTTCACGGTCGGTCCTCTCTGTCGTCACTCACCAGGTCCTCGCGGCCCGTTGTCGCCATCTGTCTCAGCGCTAGTCCTCACCTCCTGACCCCACTACCCAGCTGGACCGTCTCTCCGGCTGTTCTTCCACCATTCCTTCCTCACCTCCCCATCTTCACTGTCGCTTCCTCACTGTCCTTCCCTCACCGTCTGACGATCATCTCGCTGCCCAGCCTCACCTCAGCACAGACCACTGCCCGCCCTTACAGCCCATCCCACTGGGCTGATCCTCCCCTGCTCCTTCCCCCCCCCGTGATGTAAATCCATGTTTTAGCATCATGGTGCTGCCTGCATGAGGCCAAGATCTGTTGTCAACTGCAAAAGTACTTTTGAAATTTGTTTCTAAAACTAATTTTGGTTCTTTTATAAGTTTAAAGTGCTATCATGCAAAAAACAGAGCAATAGCTGGCATGGGTTCATGGGGAGGGAAAAGAGTGAAATTTCCCCCCTAAAATTTTTCAGTAACTAATAATTATAAATTGTCATTAAACTTTCAAAAATATTTTTTGCAATCATTAAAACAAATAAAATCGTGAGTTATTGTAACCTTCGACATTTTACAAAATCTGTAATAAGATACCTTCAACCAAAACATTTTGGATTTACCCTCCCAAACTTCCTCTTTGGACCCGTTCCTGGCAATTGAGAGCTTGTTGACAATGTTGCTTTATTGCCATTCGTACAAATTTGAAAACTTGCTCCTAACATTGTTTGTTTTCCAAACATGTAGGCATGCTTATGCTAAATAGAGCATAATATTTTAAACTAGTAACATAATCCTCTAACATTATATTATATTATATTATTTTTTGACACAATCCAATAATGCCAATTCAATCAATAAAAAAGCAAATTCTTTTTGTAATCCTGCTTAAATATGTATGCAAAATTCCTTCATTAAATCAAGTTTTATCTCTACTTATTTTGAGAATGTCTAATGAATATTAATCACACCACAATTTCCTTGATCAACGATATTTTAAATTAAAATTTATTCAAGGAAATTGAATATCATAAAGAATACATTGCAAAATGACAAAAATTGTTAGTAATATTAGAAAGAAAAGAGTGGGGATATTAGGCATTCCCATATGACTACTAATGGCATGAAATGGTGTGTCTTCAGAAGGGTTAAAGAACTAATTTCTGCAGTCACTGCAATTAGTTCAATGATAACTCACTAGGTTCATGTTGTGGAATGTCCAGCAACTGTTTCTCTCACAAAAAGCTGTTCCCTTCAGTTGTATTTTATATTTACAATTCAGCATCTGTATTCCCAAAACTCGTAAGATGATGGGGCCAATTTCAAAATGTATAGACCCCCACCTACAACTATGCTATCATTTCAATAGATATAATGACAATGTTCTCAAGATAAGTAAAAGTGTAAATCACCATTAGAATGATGAAACAAATTTAATACATCAACTCCCTTCTACACACACAAGATTGAACTTAAAATTATTTAAGAAAGTGAAAAGAATTTACAGATATCCATGAATTTGCTAGAATACGTATTCAATGAATAATATACTACCTAATTTAAAATATCTGCACAGACACTCAAAAATAATAGCAATGAAAGGACTATACCCAATCTGTTAAAAATTAAAGGAGTCAGTAGAACAAGGGAAGCTATCCCACACATAATATAGCAAATAGAGCACCCTTTTGAACAAATGTTATTAAGAACAAATTGAAGGGCTCAGTAGAACAAAGAGCTATCCCACATTGACTTGGTTCAGAGATAATGTGAATTTTACTTAAATTTTCCCCTTATAATTCATTCATTTTTACACTTTTAAATACAGTACTTTTGTACACTTTACTCGCACATATATTTTACATAGTTTTTTTGAAAAAAAAAAAAAAAAATTGTATATATATATTTTTTTCCTCCCCCCCTTTTTTCATAGAATAGATGAAGATATAGAACACTATTAGGCAAAATTTCAGAATATACCTGTATATTGCACAATCATCTAAAATATCTACTGTTCTGTTATCTGTTCATAGGCATTGGAAGTTTGCTGAGAGATAGACATACTGAAATAAAATTTTTTAAGTAATGTCAATAAATAAAAGATTAAAGGTGAGTTAAAGTTTGTATTAAACAAAGTAAGAAAAATAAAGTAAGCAAAGAAAAAAGAACTGGAATATCGTATGCCTCCTCACCATTTCAAGTTTTAAATATAGAACGTAGTACTATTGTTAAATTTGATGTAGTTGCAAACGTAATTGATATGTATTGTTACGATATTATTATTAATGTAATTATTATTAATATAATAATTATTATTATTATAGGTAGTAGCATTAAAATATCTTGAAACGTTAATTATTAGCAGATAATTTATCTACTATCTTAATATAACTGTATAATATCTTAATCTAACTGTAACAAGTATTGTATTTCTAGGCCAATGACCCCACCTCGATCAGGTTTTGTTCACTTTTCCTGGTTCTATGAGCAAATGCTGAGATGGGCCCTTGTTTGCTCCTGAACAGTAATGTAACTTCGCTCTCTCCACCCAAGGCATCATATTGACTCGTCATACACGATTGTAATTGTATATGTGACTCTATAAATACTATTATTATTAAAATGGTCAGCAACTGGTTTGACTACACAAGGGTGCTCAGTCCATGTTGAAACATTCTGATATGAATAGTCATCTGGGGCATTAGAGAAGACAACCTAAGGGACTAAACTTGTTATGTTTTCTATCTATATTATGTATTCTTTTTGAGTTACATTAAGACCTTAACATTTACCACACCCCTAAGTTTTGTGACCTCCCCACAATTGATAGTTATCATGCAAAACATGGTTAAAACATACCACAAGGATAATAAAATTATAACTTTAATGATATAATTAATAAATGAATTAGTACAAATTAACAATTAATTGGTTTCCTGATGGCTTGGAGAACTTCTTCCTCCAATGGCATACAATAATTTCCCAAATTGTCAGATTAAAATCAGCAAATTCCAGGGATTGGACATATTTAAAGAAATAAAATATTTTGTCCAAAGATTGGACAAAGATTGGATAGGTCGTCCCAAGTTTGGACCATATGGGGAAAAAAAATCGTTTCAGTTGTGAAAGATCAGTTCAGTTGTGAAACTGGAACAAATTAATCTTATCTAAAACCTAAAAGAAAGATTAAGAAAAATAAAGACACACTTAGTTCATTTTTAATAATGGTTTGAACTTTTCTCCCTCTTTTCTGAATATAAAAAAAAATAATTTTTTAAACTTATAGTTAATATTTATAGCTTTAACAATTTATGACGCATAATATGCTTAACATATTATGACGTATGATGTATTGAATGACTTGTTTACAGAAAATTAGTGAAGAGGGGGAAGATGGAGTTGAACCAATTCACACACATGGGTGCGCCTCTGAGCTGAATACATTGTTGAAAGAATGAGATATTAAGCAATGCTATAATAGTTTTCAGTTTCATTTTAGTTAAAAACTCATGATAAAATAATATTAGAACAGAAAAGTTGACATGCTTGCAAGAATTTTTGATTATTAAACTTTTAAGACTAAATATTCACTCAGCTTTAGTATTCATTACAACAAATGCTATTCAGTTGGATAGTATCTCATACACCAAGAGCTTCCATTCTTTGGACTGTGGTGATATTTCTTCAGAGCATTGGTCATTATCATCATTCTTTATTGCTTTCAGAGCAGGGTTTCCTAAAGTGGGTAGTGAAAAAAATCAGCAATGCTTAAGATACTGCTTGGATGGGAAAAGATGATTGGGAGAACGGTAGGAGGTATTAAGTGAGGTAGTGGGATGTGTTTCTGGTATTTTGGAACCATCCCAGCTTGACCTTGTGACCGAGAGAAACCACAAGAACCTCGGTCAGGATGGTCTGCCCAGGTATTGAACTCAGACCTTCCCAGTTCCAGCGAATTCAGTGCGCAGCACACTGAGCCACTTTGCTCTTTTTAATGAAATTTAATTATATTAATAAAATAAATAGAAAAAAATGTAACATTTACGGTACTGTATATGTAGATATAAAGAAACATTCTATTTATGATATAACAAAAATTATAGACAAATCTAATATTTTAATAATTTAACACTCACATATTTTTTTTCCTTTTTAGACAATCAATGCTAAGGTTTTGAAAAAAAAAAGTTTTATTCTGCAAATACCATTGGAACATAATGTTTCACATAATATTCAAACCCTTTTTTAGGTGTAAATAAAAAATTAATGTAATTATGTCTGAAAATGAAAACAAATTTTGATAATGAGAATTGTTTAGAATAAAAGTATTAAAAATAAAAAAAAATAACAATAT